CGACTGATCGCTGAACTCGGTTTCCAAAATGGGGAGGGGAGATCATTTTTGCCTCTTAATTCCCTGAAATGCTGGTTCAGGTATATGCCATTTAGGGCAGTTATCCTGTCAGGGTGGTTTTTCACTTGTCTTTTTGAAGTATTTGAAACAAAATCATGACTCGATACTTTCTTGAGCACATGCTTAATCTGCATTGTCTAGCTGCTCTTTAGAAGGTGATATAGCCCACCCTGATGTGTGCTTGTTTGTTCGATGTGCAGAAAGGAAGAAAAAGATATTTATTCCCTTTTCCCTTCAGTGCAGTCGCAGCTGGGGTTAGAATTGTGTGGAAACTCCAGTAGGAGATGCTGGGGTAAAAGTAAATTGTGATATTTGTTTCTCATCTTGTCCAGTTGTACCAAAAAAAGTACTGTACTTTATATAGGTATCTATTACCATAAATTAAGTATTTGTGCTTTTATTTATTGTTAGGATTGTCATGATGAAGTAAATGGAAGAAGTTTCACTCTTTCTTTTTTTAAAGTATGAGAAATTCTGGAGGTGTTATCGTTCTCATATTTGTTCCATAGAAACCCACAGCCTTCTTTCATGTTCCCTTGTAAACATTCTTGTCATTACAGGGCAACCATGACATGGCCAGAGAGCTGTATCAAAGCCTGCTGACTGAAGTGGCTTCAGAACACTTCTACTTCTGGCTGAACAGCTTGAAGGAGTTCTCCCATGCAGAACAGTGTCTGACAGGTTTGCAGGAGGACAACTACAGCTCAGCCCTTTCTTGCATTGCTGAAGCTTTAAAATCCTATCACAAAGGAATAGCGTCGCTGACGGTTAGCATAGATCTTCTACTTTAGTGATGATGTTTCTGTATACTGCTGCAGCTCTGTTTGGTTTCTGCTCTTAAACCTCTGAAGAGTTTTTAAAGATGTTTGACACCTGCCAGACTCTATTTGAGAGGACTGCAGGGATGAGCCAGTTGTAACACTGCACCTTCAAGAAAGGAGATTCTGTAGCTCAGCAAAGTGTGATGAGCTAGATTTCTCTTTGTCTTTTCTTCCCCTGCCTCATTTCCTGCCTTGATCGAATCATATGATAGGTGACAGGTCTCTTTTAAAGTTACAATACTTAAAATCTTTCACCCCTTGTTTTGGCTGAATAAATGCTATTGTAATAGTCAAGCCTGGGAATTTGTCTGAATTAGCTGCTATCTTCTTGAGATATGGAGAAAATATTTAATTGTCTTCCTCCCTCTTGAGTTCTTGTTGCCTTGTAATTGCCTTGTAAACATGATCCTGTAGAATCCTGGCAACAAGGTGACACCAATTTAGTAAGAGAAGGGAGGACAATTTGATCTCATCAGATCAGCAGAATTCAGATGCTACCTGCTTATATGCAAGTAGAAGTGGTGAAAAGACCAAGAAGCTATGTGTGATGTCTGAAGTTAAAAAAAAAAAAACCCAAACATAAATGAAAACAGACCTTCAGTTCTTACTGTGAAGTTGCTCCTTAACAAGAGACAGTCCAGCTTCACTCTCTCATATTTTAGTTTCCCTGAAGAACTATTTACATAGTTTTCTGTATGATGTTTGGATGAAGCTGCTTCTTTTTAGTTACTGGAACTGTCAGTGTCATGACAATTCAGATATTGGTGTTTAACAAAGTTCAGATATTACTGTTACTAATAAACTGTTCCTGAGTAAGCAGGAAGGGTATAAATTTTACACCTTTGTCTTCTGAGAGAAAGCTTCCGTAGTTCATGAAGTATTTGTCTTTAACTTGTTGGCTGAGTGAATAAGGCTTTTAATTCAATATTTTGAGATTTCTCTAACATCTAGAAGACATTAAGGGGGGGACCTCATCTAATTAGATGTTAATATTTAATACAAGCAGGAAAATACTTGCTTAAGCAGGTCATTCTGTGATTCAGTTATTTAATTAACCTTTCCCTAGAGTCTGTGTTTTTGCTGTTGAAGGATTCCTGTCCTAATCTCCTCTGCTGACTTTACTTCCTGTCTGTTGCACATAAGTATTGCACCCAGAAAAGCACTTCCTTGCGGGTTGGGGTCCAGAGGAGTAGATAGTTTTTGGAAGGCTAGGGAAGAAATAGGGTTTTATTGCTGGCTTTTGCAGACGTGTTGCATCGCTCCTGGACAAATGCCTAACCATGCTGGAGTGTATCAGCTGTAAAAGGAGCCACTCGCTGCTTGCATCTACAGAACTCCACATCTCCAAGGGGAGCAAAATGGCATAAAGTGCACACGATAGTCTTAATGCTGAAGACTTCCCTCTGACTTCAGCTTTGCTGTTGTTGCAGGGCAGAGCATGACTCAGCGCAGTCACTACCACAGAGCATTAGTGTGTATGATGAATCCCGTGTAGCTGTCCACTTTGTAACTGCAAGACACTGCGCCAGTAGTCTGTTGTAGATGTTCAGTCAGCCCAGTTTAGCAATGATGAAATATTCAGACAGTGTCTGATCTTGTCAGAAAATGTCTTGCATTGCTGTATGCAAAATGTTCCATTACTTTATGGGTGAGAGGTGTTTGGGGGAGTGCAGGGACTTGTCATGGAGCATACAGGCCACAGTCCCCATCTGTCTCAGTGTGTTTGCTGGTGTATTAGCAAAGGTTTTGAATGGAACCTGCTCTTTCTGGCACAGAACACGCATGTCATTGGAAGCACTTTTTCACTGCTGGTAATTTAGCAAAGATACAGAGCTTGAACACAGCACTAATGTAACCATTGATTAAGTACTACTAACTCCAAATATGTTGATAACAAGTGATGGTGTTTGAAGAACTTGGCTGAGGCAAAGAACTCTGTCACTGTCAAAAAATAATTGTAACTTATGTATTGCCCTGGCTCTATGGGTAGCAGATAAGGTAAATTGCAGTATTAATGAGACAAGCTTGTATTTCCATTTACAAGAACTGAGTCCAATTTGTGCTACTAAAAACGTCTGGGTTTTCTGATAAAGTACTGTTACTTTACTTTCTGTAAAAGCATGTAGTCTCTGTAGAGCAATTACAGTACAGTGAGATCTCTTCCACAAAGGGTTTTCTGGAACAACCCTTGCAATAAACTGAACAATTTCCATTCAAAAGGGATTTTTTTTTTTATGCCCTTGGAGAAGTAAAAGCAAAGTGGTAGATAAGAAGAGGGGCTGAATTGCTCAAGTGATTAAATAGTCTTATTTCTTTGGTTGAAATCTAGCTCAGTAGTTTAAAGTGGTTGCAGTTGGCTCATGTTTCCTCACTTTAGTCAAATTGGGGCCTGTTCTTAGATGATGTTTTGTGAGCAACTAGTTTGCTGCTTTCCTGTTGGCAATTAAATGGTTCTCAGTAAGGTTTTGGGATGGGTTATAACTTCCTGCGCCTATAAGTGACTTTCTCTTGAGGAATAAGAAGCCCTGGAGAAGACATGCATGAGTTTAATATACATCTATTCTCTGAGTAAGAGAAGGTCCCAGTGCTTTGTTTTGCAGATGGCTGGTTGTTTTTTTTCCCCTCTAAAGAAAAAAGTGTACTCTTCTAAAAATCCAACAGTATAAGAAAAAGAAGCAGTGGATTTTTGGCTTAACTAGTATAAAATCTTGAGTTCTGTGATTTACCCCCTCCTGGGTGCCCTAAGCTGTCACAGATGCTTCTGCAAGTTAGATAAGCTCTTAGGGAGCAAATTTTCAGAAGCATATTTTCTAAATAATAGCAGCATGTCAGCTCTCCTGGAGTTCTGCTATTTAGTGTTGTTAGTTGTCACTGAACTGTGTCTCTGCCTTCATCAGATGCAAGGCTCAGTGGGTTTGTAATCTTCCTGTCCATTTCACCGTTGCCCACAAATCAGTGGTTATCACACCTTCCTCTTGCTGGTGGTAACTTGAGCCAATTCTTTCTCTTGCCTGATTTGGAGAATGGCTTTTTTAGTCCTTCGTGTATGCTTGCCTTCCAATTCAGTGTGTTCTCTTATGGTAAGGACTGTCTGGACTGCTGTCATTTGAAGCCTGATGGCTTGGCCTTGGAAAAAGAGGAAATAGCTATCCTGATAGCATTGTAACAGCTGAAGTCACGTTTGTTATAAGGGTGGTATGCTTGTAATATGGCTTAGTATTTACCTACTTACGGTGTTTATATTCAGGATGATTAAAATTGAGCAAATCTGTTAAATATAGCTTTTAAAAAAGGAGCTTTTTACAATTGCACTGAAGGGTTTGGCTGTCTGATAAGACAGTTTGGTAACATTGCAAAGTTACTTTATCATGTTTGCTTTTGACCTAGATTTCCAACATTCGTATTACTGTTTCAGGCTGCTAGTACGCCACTTAATCCTCTGAGCTTTCAGTGTGGATTTGTGAAACTCAGGATTGACCTTCTGCAAGCTTTTTCTCAACTTATTTGTACCTGCAACAGCCTGAAAACAAGTCCACCACCAGCTATTGCCACAACGATTGCTATGACGTCAGGAAATGATCTCCAGAGGTGTGGGCGCATCTCTAACCAGGCATGTGTTCTTGTTCCACTCTCGTGCAGTTATGTGTGAGTCTGGTATGAATTTTGCTTCCCAGCAAACATATCTGATGAAAGAAATTGACAGTGGTAGAGAAGAGTTCTGTGAAATAGTGGGCCTTGGTTTTCATCTGTAGTTATAAAGATGTCTGTCTGTAGCAGGCCATGTTTTGAAATTGAGCATGTACGTATGTTTTCTCATATGTTCACATGCACAGCTTCCAAGGATATGTGTGTAGTAAGCCACTTGGTACGCTCAAACTCACAGTAAGACCTTTCACACTGTTTTGAAACACTCCAGATACTGGGGTTACATTAAGGAAGAACATGTACTTTAGGTTCATACTGTAAATCTTTGGTGAGTGTTGGCAACTGACTTAATAGCGTACAGAGCATCAAGACAGGCAGCTTCCAAAACGCACGTAGTCTGCAAGAAGGAATCAGTGGGTAGTCTCTGAGATAGAGAGCAGTGTGGGATGAGGGAGGTGGTGGTTGGGGCTCTTTATTTTGCCTCATTTTTAACCCAAGGAGAGTATGTTGATGCTGTGTTACAGCGAAAATCTGTTTACTGTGGGGGTAGCTGTTTGACTTTGGTGATGTTTATCTGTGTGAAGAAGCAAGGACTTCATGTATATTGCCAGAGTATGTTGCCTTATTCCTTCAGTGTTGCATATTAGCGCAGTGGTTTTCTGGATGTGTGGGGTTTTGTTTTGTGTTGCTTTGGCTTTGTTTTTTTTGACTAGTTAACATTGTCTCTGTAGATGAAACACTCAATGGAGGAATTCCGAAACCTGGCTACACGTTATGGAGATCTGTATCAGTCATCTTTTGATGCAGACTCAGCAACTCTGAGGAATGTAGAACTGTATCCTTTTAAAATGTTAGTATTTGTCCACTTTCCTTCTCATGTGGACAGCATGAAGCTTAGCAATACTCTTGTCTATGAAAACTGGCACAAAGTCATCTTGAAGCAGTTAGTAACATAAAAATTAGGTACTAATCACTTAGAATCTATTTGGAAATAAACATTCCCATGCTATTATATGGAATTACTTTATGAACCAGTTATGACACAAAAATGGCAACAGCGTAAAACGTTGGATGTTGTGGTTTAATTCCGGCCAGCAAAATACCATGAAGCTGCTCTCACATGTCCCTCTTCCTCCTCCAGCAGAAGGGGAGAACTGGGGGAAAAAAGACAAGGAAGCTCGTAAAATTGAGATAAGAGCTATTTACTAACTGAATATAAATGAATTTATATATATGAATATATATGAATACTACTAATAGTAAGTAACTGAAATAATTAGAAAATAAAGCATATGATACAGTTGCTCACCACCTGCCAACTGATGCACAGCTGGGTCCTAAGTAGAGAGAGTCAGAGCTAGAGAGACTGAGACACACAGCCTGAGAGTGATCGCAGCAGAGTCTGAGCAAGCCCTGTGAGCAACAGCATGACCAAGAAAGCCAGCCGACCTACCAACTCACCAACAGATGAGCCAGCACAGGAGTCAGCAAAGCAGCTAACAAGTTAAGGAGCTAACAGAGGAGTTAAGGAGCCAGCAAAAGAGTAAAAAGAGTGTAATGGCCCCCGAGCCCACTCCCCACTTCTGTACTGAGCATGAGGTGCTATGGAATGAAATACTCCTTTGGTCGGTTTGGGTCAGCTGCCTGAACTGTGTGTCCCCCACACTGCCTGTAGTCAGACAGAGTTGGGAACACAGCTGCAGTATCAGAAGCTGAGAGAGACCTTGAATTTGGTGCAAGCACTCCCCAGCACCAACTAAAAAGACACCTTATCAGTACTGTTCTCAGGGTAATTCCAGAAACCTAGCTTCATTCCAGCCACTGTGAAGAAAGTTAACCCTTTCCTGACTAAAACCAGCACAGATGTTCATAATTGTTGCTCTTTTTACTAGAGGAGTAATGACTGTGGGATTACTTCATGAAAACTAGAGAAATAAGGAAAAGTTCCAGTAAAATACTACATTTCTTGTTTCAGGTGCCAGCTTTGTAAGTCTTAAATCCTTAGTATGATTATCAGACAACAGCAGAGTTGCCTGTTGATTTCACATGCGATAGAAGCTCTGATTTTGGATCCAGAATCTGCAAGGTAGGTTTGATAGTTAACTTCCTACTCCTTCGCTATTTGTGTCTAAATCCTTGGGGATTTAAGCCTAGGAATTCAAAGAATGTTCAGAAAGTTTCTCAGTAAACCCTTACAATTCTACTCTGGGCAGGCTTGAGGACATGTTGCTGCTGTATTATACCTGGCAGGCTAGGGTCTGTGTTTCAGGTTCTGCATATTATACAGATTTTGCTCTTGAGAGCACTATACTGGACTTGTCTTTGATATAGAGTTGTATTAGAATCAAACCCAACTTTGAATCTCTTCTTTAGCCACTTATTTTAACTTTTGTCATTCTGTGTTAGCTCCCGTACCTACTGTCCGTGCTTGTAGCGCACATCAGCTTCCTTCAGTCTTGCAAATATATACATTAAATTAGTTTAAACTTTTAACATAAATCCATCACCTCTGGCTCCTTAACAGTGAACTTATACCCACTAGAAAATCATGTTGAAGTACTGATGAATTGAATCACACTAAAACTCCCAGGTTGAAAATAGATGGAAGATAATGTGGATAAACATAACTTTAAATGTGTGATTTTTGTAACTGGAAATAACAGCGAACATACTAAGTGTCTGTCCTACTCATTATGAATCAAGCATTGCTTATAACTTGTACTAATCATACTTTTAAAAGTATGAAGCTGTAGACTTCAAAACATTAGGTGTCTAGGAGATGGAATTGTATTAAAAGCATGAGATTATGAACTTCCAGATTTAGTCTTAACTCTGACTGGTATTCTTGCTTTCCCTTGAGTTGGGAGACTTCTAAAAACATGAATGCTGCAGGCTTAAATAAAAGCCATGGGAATTAAATACTGCAGGCTTAAATAAAAGCTAGAGGGATTAAGTTTGCTGAGTCTGTTAGACCTGTAACTGCTTCAAGTGAGAGAGGGTGGTGACGAAGTGGTGGATAAGATGTAGTTCCGAACAGGTTTAAATGCAAAAGGCAAGTCTTATGTGGAAAAGAAACAAAGTAAACAGACAGTTATTTCTCAATGGATTTCAGTTTGTAAAAGACCATGGTCGTCTTGGGTCTGCTTGAGAGTGGGCCCCCTAGATTAACTCGAGGAAAGGATGTTAGACATGAAAAGTTTTATTTTCTAGTTTCCAGGAATATAGCTCAAGTGGAACAGCACATGTTGAGAGTGAATATGAAAGAAGAATGATGTCAGTATTTAGTTATGTACTGGAAGAAGTGGAATCCCTCAACAGGAAGTATGCTCCTGTGTCTTACTTGGCAAGTAACAGTTTAAAATGTATATTCTTTAGACAAAGGTTCCAAAACCTCCTCATCTCCATATATCTTTGGTCAAGAAACTGAAGAGCACAGAGTTAATTAACATGACCTCATACTGGCACAAACGGTCTCTACAGAGACTCACTACTTCAAAAATACTTCAAAAAAAGGTTTTGCTAAGACATCTGTCACTTTACCGGTCTGGTTAAAAAATATATTGAAAATTCTGATATTAAGAATAAAGCAGATGCTGATAAGTTATACAAGTCTGTGGCCACTCACGCATTCTCTCTGTTCCTGTTGCTGTGAAGGAATACGTCCCCTGCCACGCACGCTGCTGGGAGGTCCAGCACTAGCCTAGCTTCGGTCACTGAGCTGTTGGCAGTTACACTGTGTTTTGTGAGTGTAGCGTTTCCCTTATCAATGCAGGTCATCAGAGAACAGTGTAAAGCGTGCTGCATGCAAACGGTGAGCTGATAACTTGCTCCTTTACGCGGCTAGTATGGCTTTGTCCGTTACCGTTAGTGAACGTGATAAAGCTGAAGTGCATGTTGATGGGAGCGAGGTAGTTCATTTGTCATGGCTGCCATCTATTTGTCTTGTTTCCAAATCCAACAGTCCATGCCAATTCCATGCAAAATAGAAACATGAGTTGTGCAAAACATAGCAGAGTTAAAGCCTGTAAACTTACTTGTCACTGACTCCATACCAGTGCGGCTCGGTGGCTTCAGTAGCACTGCCTTTACCGTCCTTCTGGCTCAGATGAGCATGGTGCAGCAGGGGAAGGTAGAGTAAACAGGTGTCTTAAAACTTAATTAAACCAGGTTAAGTTGTGGGAGATGGCAGTCATCTTGGCTTGGAGGGGAGTTGTTTATTTGGGTGTTGGCATGTGAGGGTTTTGTGTATGACTTTCAAACAGATCCTGCTCTGTTGATTCTAACACTGACTGAAATGATTTGGATTTTTCTTTTTCTTGGCCTCCTTGTTCTTCCCAGAGCAGAATACCTGCTTCATAAAAAGCAGAACGTAACCAGAAAGGCTGAATGTAGCCACTGTCATCATAGTGGCTGTTGTCCTGTGACTGTATCAAGATATTTCTAGACGTCTAGTAGAAAGTACTGCAGTTTCAGTACCTCAAGTACATGTCTTTTTTCCTATGCTGTGAATGATAGGTTTTTCTCAATTGTTTTGGCTCTTTCTTACAGCATACAGCTTGTCTGTGCGATGCTGTCATTGCACTGTTGAAGGTACCCCTTTCATTTCAAAGGTACTTTTTTCAAAAGCTGCAGTCTACAAGTATTAAGGTAAGTACTACTCAAGTGAGGCCTAAAATTTCTATTTACAGAGTCTTTACTTCATGAGAATAACCTTGCTGAAGGCACAAAGCTTCAGTGTGTTTTGTGAAGATACTTAACTGCAAGTAGCATCTGGATGTATCCGTTAGGAATAACATGAATAATACGTACATATGATGCCTTAGGAACCACTAGGCAGCGACTTAAGCAAGTAGATTCAGCTCTTTGATTGCAGAGCCTTAAAGATGAAATCCAAGTGAAAATCTTGTTGGTTCTGAGTCTGCAAATCTAAGTAATGTTCCAGTCCTGGGAAGGCAACTTTTATAAACTTGTGTTCTTCCTTTTCCTAATACCTTGGAAGAAAATTGTAGTATCTATTAGCGGACAGAATAGGAAAGGCTGTGTGTGACCTTGAGTAAAAAAAAATGACTGCTGAAGTGTGCTACTTTTTTGGGGAAAAGTGAAAGCCCTAAAATTTTTAATATTTACTGTATTTTACTCTTTGTTCAGCTCTAATATATTTTATCTGTGGCTATTTTGTAGAAGACTGTTTCTGCTTCTTGTGAATAAGTGCAATTAATGAAGCTGGTATAAAGCCCACATCTAGTATTGCTGATGATGCTTATTAATTATTATAGTAATGAGTGTTCAATATAAGTTCTGTGTTCCCATTTGCTGGTTTCCCTACCAAATCCCTCTGTGGAAATATTTCTATAAGGTGTTCAGTCTCATCCTGGAATTGTGTTGGCTTTTCTGGAGGCTAAAAAATTACATCTTTGTCTGTTTCTTGTTTCAGCTTGCTCTATCTCCATCTCCAAGGAACCCAGCAGAGCCTATTGCAGTACAGAACAATCAGCAATTGGCCCTGAAGGTGGAAGGAGTGGTTCAGCATGGATCTAAACCAGGCCTTTTCCGTAAAATCCAGTCGGTCTGTCTAAATGTCTCTTCAGTGCTGCAGAGCAAATCTGGACAAGACTATAAGGTATGAATAGAATAGAGCCAGGAGGAATCTTAAGCTTCCCTGCTGTGCTTTCCTGCTCTTCGGTTTGGCTTGGGCTAGCAGAATTTCCAGGTGGAAAAGAATGGGTGATTATATAATCCTCTCGCTCATTACAGCTGGCATTCAAGCACCGGTGGGAGCCAGGCATAGTGGATGAAAGGGATCTGGTGTTTTTAAGTCTGCTGTATGCTGATACCTTTTCAGTAACAGCTTTTCCTCCAAACAAAAGATGTTTTGTGATGCTCAGACATTCATTAGGAATCTGCTTGAGATCAGGAAAATTCAGCCTAGATATATATCATATGAAACTCCAAAGGGGAAAAGGGCAGGAGTATATTAGTCTCTAGACTTTATTAATTCTCATTTTAAGGTTATTTTGTTTATGGAAATTGGGAGGACAGGCTGTCCAATTGAATTTGCACCTGAGGTGCAATCTGAAGACTTGAATTTAATACGTATGTCTGAAGTTCAGGTTCTGCTGATGTGTGAAAGGCCTGTTTGGGGTATTTTTTTGTGTGTTTTTGCTGTTTGGGCTGTTTTGAGGGGGGAAAAGAGAAGTCTGTTGCTTCTAAAAGAACAGTGTTAGGAAGTGTGTAATGTTTCTGACTTGTGTTACTCTGACAAACTAGAACCTCAGGGAGAAAGACTTGTTAGCTATGTTGCTTCTGCTAATACATATAAAAAACCTCATTTGTCAATAAAAAATCACGCTCATACATGCACATGCATTGTTTTAGGAAAATTCAAGACAGATTCATCTTTTTTTCTTTCCTTCAAATGGAGAGCAGAAAGCTTATTTAACAGGTTTTGTATAAAATGGCATTTTAACCTTCCATGTGTTCTCAGATTCCTATTGACAACATGACCAATGAAATGGAGCAGAGGGTGGAACCACACAACGACTACTTCAGCACTCAGTTTCTGTTAAACTTTGTGATACTTGGCACCCACAACATTACAGTAGAGTCCTCTGTAATAGATTCAAATGGTATTGTCTGGAAAACTGGGCCTAAAACAACTATTTTTGTTAAATCTCTTGAGGATCCATACTCCCAGCAGGTTCGTCTTCAGCAACAGCAAGGACAGCCGCCATCACAGCAGCAACAGCAAAGAACCGCATACTCACGGTTTTAATTCCCACAAGCGACACTGTCCTGGTCAGTGGCATTACAGCTTTTCTTGGACACTTTTTTTTTTTTGAAAGACCTACAATTTTAACCTTCTCCTAGAAAGTCTCAGATGCTAATTTGTTGCCTTTTAAATTAGCTGGGGTAAATTTGAACTTGATTCAGCAGAGGCAACTCTTCTCACATGTGGAGTTGTGCTTTTAATAGATCCTCTACCTTACAGATTCTACCTACAGGTCACTTCTGTTTAACGGGTCTGTTGCAGCAGGCTTCACAAACTCTGATAGCAGGGGACACTAAGCTCCTTGACTAGTATTTTATGTATTTGCTTTTCTTGAAGCACGTAACTTGCAACGTTGGGCTCACAGGACATCAGTAAACACTTTGCCTTGTTGATACAGTGTAATAAGAACTCCATATCTTTTAACGTGAAGGAATTGGCAGGAATATCCAGAGGTTTTTTACATTTTAATACCAACTTCCAGTATTTGGCTGGTGTATGTGTACTGTTACAGTTCATCAGCACTGTTTAATGCAGGCATCTGCAAGAGAAGTTGTGGCTCACTTCTCATACCCAGTCACTGTAGAGGGAGGAGACTGCTTAAGGGGTTGCTGTCTGGGGAGTCTTACAAGGCAGAATTTTGCAGGTGGGAACAATTGGTTTCTCAGATGATATAGAAAAAATAACTGTTGTTTTTAAATCTTCATGTATCTGTATTTTGGAAGGCTTTTGGGTTTTTTTGAGTTTTTGTTTGCTCTTCTAAGAGGGATGTTAACTTGCAAGTTGTCATTTGTTTTGACTGCTTTGTTTTTTAAAAAGGAATTCTATATACTAAAGCTTTGTGGTCTTGTGTGCTTTTTGACCAATTGATTAATCTTAATTGTTACTTTTACAGGATAACTTGAAAGAGAATTTTGCCAATATTAGAAATTGATTCAGAGTAGTTTTGCAAATACGCTGCTTCATACTTAAGTCTTCATTCTTCCCTTGAGACATAAAAGGCTGAATTCTGCCTGTGTCTGGACTCTCAGGCAACAGATCACGTAACATGTTATTCACCTGGTCCTCATAATAATCTCTGCTTATCACTTGCAGGGAAATAGGACCCACTTGAATGGGGAGGGGAAGGATTGCACATATTACAGACTTCAGTTGGTAAATGGATTAATCCCCCTCACTGGAGCAGAAGTTTTCATTGTTATTTTCCCAGTTAATTCTTAAGATGCTGTTATTTCTTCAAGTTGAGTTCACTGTAGAAGCTTACTGGAGCTTGCAGATCCTGCTTGTTTCATATGCAGAGAATATGATAATGAATTGTTACAAGCTGGGTTTCCCTGGCATAGCTGGATGAGGAATCGTTTCTGCTGGGTTTTCCTGTAATAGTTGCTTAAGAAATGAACTTTCTTCCTCTTGACTTGAGACTAACTGGAAAAAAAGAAGTGATCATGGTCGATTTCATAGTATCTTGGTCAGGATATAATTGTAAGCAGAAAACATACTTAGGTAATGCCAGATGGAAATAGAAGACTCAAAATAGGTGAAAAACTTACCAACATCCTTCTTAAATCTGATTTTTATTTTGTGCAGGAGACAAACTACCACTGGCCTTCAAGCTGGCTGAGGAAAGCGGTGGTTTCCGTCCCCACTTCTGTGGTTATATACTTAGTTTTGTGTGTGTATACATACATATACAGCTGTGTATGCATGTGTGCATACATGTAGTTATAGCTACGTAGGGTTACACAGTCCAGAAAGAGATGATTCAACTAGTGTTGTGCATGCAGTCTGTCAGATTGAAGATCTGAACTGTTTGTGGTTGGCTGGGTTTTTTATTAAAGTCATAAATCAGTGTCTTGACCGCAAAACCCTCTTTATTGTAATGCAAAACAAACCAAGAAACTAAGAGGTCAAAAAACCTTTTTTTTTTTTTTTTTATCCTGCATAATGAACGTGTGTTTCTTGCTCTGATATTGACCAGTATGTTGCTGGAAACCTGTCATGGCGACATTCCAGAACAACTCAGAACTGAAATTACCACGCTGGGGAGCAGACTTTTCTCCTAAGTCATATGATGTTCACAGTGCATAGCTAAACTTAAGCCTAGTAGAAAAAAACTTAACCAGGGAAAGCCCTGATCTGGCCTGAGGCTTAATTGTCTGTGAGCCAGTAAGGTTAGCCCTGCTGCAGCTGAAAAAAACCTGTTCCTTCTCCAAACAAGTTTGCTTGCCTGAACGAAGAGGCCTCTGGAACCTCTGGAACTTGGATCAGTTTTGGAGCCAGGCAAATAGTAACTGCAGTCTGAAAATGTGGTGCTAGGTAGGGGAGATTGTGGGGTGAGGGTAAATGGCTTCTGGGAAACGACAAGTAGTAGTTATTGGAAATGAGCTTATATGGGAGAGTGGCTTGCTGTGCAAATACCTTGAATTTCTTACGGGTCCTGAAGGTTTTATCATGCTGGCTCATTTGCAGGTTAGTTGTATATGCATATGCTGATCCGGAAAGACCCTGGACCCATTAGTAAGTTTTCCTTTTATGTAAGCATAGTGGTTTAGGTTGTGGAGTTGGTAGTGAGGTTATTCTTTGGGTGTGGGTTTTGTTTTCAGTGTATTAGGAATAACAGACACACAGCATTTGTGAAATACACTTGGCAAACAGGAAACAAGATTTTCATAGAAATCTGGCTCAGAATACGCAAGGAGTGGGGAGGAAGTGTATTAGTTAAAGCAATGCACAGGAAGCTGCTGCTGGAGCTGTCGGCAGTGGGTGTGATCCTTGACTTAATAGAAGCAGGGGGGGTATCTAGCTTGAATCCTGCGTTGTTTCTGGTGCCCGTACTTGAAGATGTGCAACAAAGAATCTAGAAAGTACTTCTATTAAATGGGCCCATGTTAAATCTCCTTAGTGTTTCCCAGTAAACAAAGCACTAGCTGTGCTCACTGTGCATAGCTGCACGCTGATGGCAGAAGACAATTCAGGCCCTTTTCACTTACTGGCAAAAGAATGAAAATACTCAGTGGCTAGACATTGGTCTTGAGGGTGCTGCTAAGGATTCAGACAACAAAAATGCTTATGCAGGCAGCTACATCATTATCTAATCTTAATCATTATGGTATGCTTTTATCTAGCTTTGACAAATTCTTGAGCTGGGGAAGGGTGAAGATGATCAAATTAAGATGACTGGAGATACTCATCATACATGCAGTTCTGCATTAAGCCAATCGTAGTTAGTGCTTAAGCACTAAAATTTTACCCAACTTCTTCACGGATGACGTAGCCAGTTACTCTTGGAAGTACTTACTACTCACATTCTTGTGAACCTGTTCTCAGACATACCAGAAAGCGTCAGGTCTGGATTCCTGGCTGACCTCTCACTGAAGGCAATGTGGAACCTGGCAAGGGGTGGGGAAGGAATTTCCCCTATCAAACTCTATTTTCCTCTAGAAGTTAGTGTAATCTCCTGTGAAGGTCATTCAGGTGTGTTTCGTAAGTGATTCCCTGAAGTTGCACTCATCGTGGGTATTCATGGCATCTTAGACTTCCCTTTCTTCCCATGTTTGTTTCCTTGGATATGCACTCATTTTACCTGAGGACTGAAATACCTAATTTAGCTGAGGTTTTTGTATCTGATTGTTGGATATCTGCATGTCTTTGGCTGAAATCCTGTGAACCTACAGGAATTGGACAGGTCTAGAAGCAAGTTAAGTGGCCCTTTAAACATATGCATAAACTTTAAAAAATAATTTCTTTAGTGATGTCACAATTTTAGTTTTAAAAAAAAAAAACAACCCAACTTATTGAAGGAATTTATAGTATTTGAATGATTTATGTTGCATTCCTAAAATCTCTTTTGAATTATGATCAGCATGTGTGTATGTATAGAGAGAGACATCTCGTACAACAGTGGAAGCAGCTGGCCTTTAAAGTAGCTGTATTTCTTTCCAGGCTGTCATCTTTCTGCTGGCCTACAGTGCTTTGCTGTCTTCTTGGTCAGCATATTTACACGTGTGCCCTTTTAATTCTCAGCAGCTTCTCGAACAATCTGTTCCTCCTGTGGCAGTGCAGGTGTAGTCAGGTATCTACATTGTCCAAAGCACCGGGGGGGCGGGGATGGGACTTCGGAGTCCTGCCAGCTCACAAGGCAGTTCTGAGTTGAGTAGGGCTCAAGAACTGCAGTTCTCCTTGCTCAACTGCTGTAACTCGGTGTCCAGCACTATTAGAGCTGCTTTTGCTTCACCCACATAGATGCCTCCAAGGACACCACCTTAAATGCTAAACTGAAGAAGACTTTTCTAGAACCTTTTTCCAGAACCTCCGAAGCAGGGAGAGTGACAGAGACAAAAGCACTTCTTGCAAACAAGTATGAAAACACTACAAAGCCCCAAAGAAGATAAAATAGGCTTGTGTGTGTTGGGTGATGTAAAATACCTTTGCTCAACAAATTAAGTATGCGACTTGCTGGCAGTCCATCTTATAGATCCCTTCCCTACTTACTAGAATGCAGGTAATTTGAAAGTAGTAGCTGTCCATGCCTAACATGCAGCTGGGAACTATGGGGCAGAACCCACAAGTAGCAGTTGAACTAGAAGAGACTGTGGAATATAAACTGAATGGTATGTGGATGGGTGGTCTCTGCCAAAGATGAGGGATGAATCATCAGGATACCGTTTCATGCTTCACGTAATGCAGTCTAGATGTGTGGTTTTGCTGAAAGGGGCTCTCTGCTGCTTATTCCTGCCTCCATCTTTGCATCAGATCACAAGTTTATCCAGTTAAAACAGTTTCATTTTGCTAGGGTGCTTTTTTAGCTGAATCAGCAGGTTTGTCTTGGCTGATTGTGCAGCAGCTTGATCACCAGAGCCAGTACAAGGAAGGTGCTGGGGAAGATGTCTGATGTGTCCTAGAAGCCATGTCAGCTGCTGGGTTGACTCACCATGCTTCTGGGGTTTATTTCTGTATTTAACGCGAGTCTAGAGGGAACAATCTGTTCACACGCGTAAGAACGGTGG